CCCCGGGCCAGAAGTCCGCTCGAGAGCGGTCCCTGGGCCTCTCAGGGTCCTTCCAGAGAAGTTCCTCCGAGCCGCGCCAGGCCGCGGCGACGAGACAGCCGAGGCAAGGGCACCGTCGGTGTCGCCGTCTCCTCCGCGCCGCCAGGTCTGGGCTGGGCAGACGCCCTCCGCGCCAGGGCTCGACGAAGCTCGACGGACGCCCCGGCCCCGGAGTCCTGACCCCCGCGGGCCGTGGTAGACTGGGCTCGGCCTCGGCCGCGGCCTTGGCTCTGGCGCGAGAGCGCGAGGTGCAGCGCGACCCCACCTCGTCCCCTTCACCTCCTGAAGGTGCAGACCTTTCCCTGTCCATCCTTGGTGTGCGAGGCGCTCCTGATGCTTGCCGTTGTCTCGCGCTGCGCTATGGTGGACCAGTCGGATCAGGCTGTCCTGGGGACGAAAGTGTTGGGGGACACGGCGCTGCAGCACCCCGCCGTTGCTGCCTGGCGTGCGCCCCTTCGGGCCAGGGCGCCGGCATGCGCAGGGGCTCCTCCCTCGTCCTCCACGGGCTCGCCAAGACCTCCGATTCCAGGTCTCTAGGCCTCTTAGATGGGGTCCGAGTGGATGGGGTCGGAGCATTGCGCCGCATCGCCGATGCATCGCCGATGCGGCTCGATGTGGAGCCCGACTTGCTTCACGTTGACGTCGCCGATGCATCGCCGAAGTCGGCGATGCGGCGCGATCCTTCGACCCCATCTGTTCCGACCCCATGTAGGAGGCCTCTAAGGTCACTGCTGCCCCTCCCTGAGCCAGTACCCCCTTTTTTGGCTCCCCTCGAGGGGAGCGAGGGAGAAAATTGAAGTGGGAAGGAGAGGGAGGGAGCACACGGGAATGTGCTGGTGGAGGCTCAAAGCCCCCCTCTCCCTGCACACCTGCGCCCACCAGAGAGGGCCACCTCGGCACATGGAGGCGCACCCACCCCTCACCGCTGCACCTGTCTGCAAGACTTCGTCTGTCTGGGCCAGCGCTTTGGGGATGGGGGGGAGGCGAGAAGCGGCGGCATGAGCCTTCTCCTGGGTTTTTCTCCTCCATGCAGGGAGGCGGAATCGAGAAGGGAGGGGGCAGAGCGCTGGCCTTAAGTCGGGCGTGTCCCCCTACAGGGGGATTTTCGACGAAAAATAGAAAATACCCCCAAAATAATCAAAAAATAGTAAAAAAATAGTCTGGGGACGATTTTGTTTTAGTATTTTTGACCATTTTGGGGTATTTTGGGGGGTATTTTTGATTTTTCGTCAAAAATCCCCCTGTAGGGGGACAGGCCCGACTTAACGCTAGCCCGCTCGCCGGTTGCACCGTGGTTCGCCAGGGACGCGGAGCAGCGACCACGCGCGTGCCGTCTTGTCCAGAGCGGCTTGCTCCTCCGCCTCCTGCCCCTCCCCCTCCTCCTCCTCCTCCTCCTCCTCCTCCTCCACCTCTTCCTCCTCCTCCTCCTCCTCCTCCTCCTTCTCCACCTCCTTCTCCACCTCTTCCTCCTCCTCCTCCTCCTCCTCTTCCTCCCCTCACCTCCTCGCTCCTCCCCCCCCCCTCCTCCTCCTCCTCCTCCTCCTCCTCCTCCTCCTCCTCCTCCTCCTCCTCCTCCTCCTCCACCCAAACGGTAGCACGCTGGTGGGGTCGTCTGGCCAGCGCTCGGCGGCGACCTGGCCCAGGGGGCAGGCAGCGGGCCCAGCTCGGGCAGGGCTGGGACGAGGATGAATCCGCTCCAGAGCGTATCCGCTCCAGAGCGTTCCAGAGCCCTCTCAGAGCCAGAACGCTTTGAGAAGGCCGCGGCGCCCGCGACATCTTCCAGAGTCGCTGGCTCTCAGAGATTCCCGATTGATCTTCACCCGAATTTATCTTCGTCCTGGCTTCGTCTTAGCAGCCGCGCACCGCCAGATGAACGTGGCGAAGGAGTACGCCGCGGACAAGAACGAGACCAAGTGGCTGAAGTCGGAGAGCACCGACCGGTACACGATGGACCCCGAGGTGCGCCGGTTCTACGAGCAGAACAGCGAGCGCCAGGCCCCAGCCCGTCGGATCTGCTTCCCTCCGTCGGGGGCCCCCGAACGGTGTGGTGACCACACCGTTTGGAGAGTCGGTGGGGATTCGGGGTCAGCACACGGCTTTGGGACTCGGGTCGTCCGCCGAGGATGTCACGGGCGACTGGGGCCTCCGATGTCCGAAGGCCGAGCGGTGACGGACCGCGCGGTGAGGTCTCTTGGGATGTCGAGGTCGCCGCACGGTCTGTCACCACTGTCTTGGGGTCCCCGACCCAGGCAGGCCCAGAAATAGATCAAATTACTCGGTCGGAGCGCTCCGGAGCGCTCTCAGGTCGCTCCGGGGCGCTCTGAAACGGCCGATGTTGCGCCCGGTGCATCTTCCAAGTTTGCCTGCTCTCAGAAACTTCCGAGCTCGTCCTCACCCGGGCTCGTCCTCATCCTGCCTCCGTCCTCCCTCTTCCCCCGCCCGCGTCCTCCACGCCCCCTCCCGCCTCTCTCCCTCCCTCCAGCAGAGGGGGAGGAGGCGGAGGGAGAGGAGGAGGGAGAGAAGGAGGAGGAGGAGGAGGAGGAGGAGGAGGAGGAGGAGGAGGAGGAGGAGGAGGAGGAGGAGGAGGAGGGGGAAGAGGAGGAGGAGGAGGAGGAGGAGAGGAGGAGGAGAGGAGGAGGAGGAGGAGCAGGATGAGGATGAGGAATGAGGATTGATGATGAGATCAGGATGAGGCTAATGATGAGGAGTGAGTGATGAGGCTTAAGTATGAGGATGAGGATGAGGATGAGGATTTTTTGAAAGGATGATGATGATGGATGATGATGATGATGATGATGATGATGATGATGATGATGATGATGATGATGATGATGATGATGATGATGATATGCATGATGATGATGAGGATGATGAGGATATGAGGAATGATGAGGAATGAATGATGATGATGAGGATGATGATGATGATGATGATGGTGATGAATATTTATCGGTGATGATGCTTGATGATGATGATGAGGAGGAGGAGGAGGAGGAGGAGGAGGAGGAGGAGGGTGGAAGGTTGGGGCCTGGGCGGTTTTTGGCCGCCAGGCCAGGCGGGATGCAAAGGCTCGCCTTCGAGCTTGGAGCTCCCTCCGGGGACCCCAGGCGGCCCCGCGGGGCACGACGCTTCCTCCCGCCGGCGTCGTCGTCGTCGTCGTCGTCGTCGTCGTCGTCGTCGTCGTCCTCGTCCTCGTCGTCGTCGTCGTCGTCGTCGTCGTCGTCGTCGTCGTCGCCCAGGGCAGGTCGGCTCTCCTCCCTCCCTCCCCCTCCTCCCCTGTCCCCGTCTCCCTACCTCCCTGCCTCCCTCCTCGTCCTGCCGGGCCCGGCTGGGAGAAGTTGGGATGGGGTGGGCTGGAAGGGACCTCCGCTCCCTCAGAGTCTGCTTGTCGTTCTCGTGCCCTCGGCGCTCCCAGGGGCCTTCTGCTTCGGGGGTTCGGCTGCTTCTGCCTTGCCCTAGGTCTCCGGAGGTTCTCTGGGGGCTTTCTGGTGGCTTGCTTTCGCCTCCTGGGGGGCTGGTGGGAGGATGCCGGGAAGTTGTTGGAAATGGTAATTCTCAGCAATGTTGCCGCAATAAGCTCCCCATAGGCTTTCAAGAAGCCCACAGGAGGCCCCAAGGAGGCCGCAAGAAGCTCCCCCAAGAGGCCCTCCAGAAACCTCCACGAGGACCACCCAAGAGGCCACAAGAGGCTTCCAACAGGCCTCAGATCGACAACACATCTATCCCGAAGGGCATTCAAACACCCTCTTCGCACGGCATGGTCTGGACGGAAGTGTTGCGACGTTTGGCACCTGATAAGTTGGAGGGCGATGCCCTCCCCGAAGGGGACACATCTATTTTGGAAGAACTGGTCTGCTTAACCGCCTACGCCCAGAGAGCTGGTGGGACTAGGCCAAAGACCACATACGACGGACCTGAGAGATGCCGCGATTCAGGATGAGGAGCATGGTGCAGGGTATGATGGTGGTGCTCATTCTGGTGATGGAGCGGGGATGGGGAAACATGGCGATGATGATGCTGCTGCTGATGCTGATGCTGATGCTGCTGCTACTGATGATGGTGATCATGATGAGGATTATTATGATGATGCTGATGATGACGATGCTGGTGCTGACGACGACAATGACGATGATGACGATGCTGCTGATGCTGCTGCTGATGATGATGATGATGATGATGATGAGGATGATGAGGATGATGATGATGATGCTGATGCTGATAGTGCTGAAGATGACGATGATTATGCTGATAATGCTGATGCTGATGCTGCTGATGATGCTGATTCTGATGATGCTGGTGATGATGTTGCTGATGATGATGCTGCTGATGATGATGGCGATGCTGATGCTGATTATGATAACGATGATGCAGATGATGCTGATGGCGACGATGATGAGGATGCTGATGGTGATGCTCATGATGACGATCATGACTATGATGATGATGATGGTGATGATGTTGATGTTGATTATGATGATGATGCTGATGATAATGCTGACGATGATTATGGTGATGATGCTGCCGATGCTGATGTTTATGCTGCTGCTGATGATGCTGATGATGCTGATGATGATGCTGATGACGATGATGATGATGATGAAGATGCTGCTGATGAGCTGTGCTGATGATGCTGCTGCTGCTGCTGCTGATGATGATGATGATGATGATGATGATGATGATGATGATGATGATGATGTGATGACGACTATGTGGGGGAGGATTGGGATGAGGAAGAGCAGGAATATGATATGATACTCCATCACCATTTTCCCCGAAGAGCCGCGAGGACGATCTCAACCATGTCAAGGCCACAGAACTGCTGATGATAGACATCTGCGATTTCGCCAGGAGTGCCCTCCACGTGATAAAGAGGAGGACGAGGAGTAGTATAGATCTGTCTACGTAGCTGAAGTGTCATGGTATCCGTGGACATCATGGACGGCGACTTACCATATCGGGAAGAGGCTCAAGAGTTGTGATGCACTTTCACCCTAGATTTCAATCGCTTCGCTCATTCCGCTGGCCCATCTTGTCGCGTCCCTGCTAATTATAAGTATACATATACATCTCAAGTGTTCGTGTGGAGTGCGGAGCCGCAGGGAGGTCATCCAGGTCTTTTTGAGGCGTGGCATTCGGCACGCTGATAGCGGCCTCCAGAGGTCGGAGATTTTCTCTTGGACTGGCTGTTCATCCCGAGTTGTTTTGTGACGGTCCCAGGGCTTGTTGAGGTACCAATGGGGTGGGCGTGCTCTTGTCGAGCGAGACGGATTAGAATGAGGAAGCGGAGGATGAGGAGAAGGAGGAAGCTGGTCGATGGTTTTTTAGGCACCTCTGAAATTGGGTCGTCGACAAGACGTCTCTCTGGGAGACGTCGTGGGGTTTCTTGGGAGGCCTCTTGGGAGCCTCTTGGGGGCTTCTTGGGCTTTTTTTGGGGGGCCTCTGGGAGCTTCTTGGGGCCCTGCTGGCGGTCTCGTGAGCGATTTCGCCGGAAAGGGCCAGACATGGCGTCTCGGAGTACAGCTCTTGGGGTCTTTTTGGAGCCTCTGGAGCCGTCTTGCGGAGCCTTGTGGGCTGTCTTTTAGCGCTCTGGGGCCGTCTTGGGCTCATCTTGGGGGCACGTTGGGCCGTCGTTGGGCGTTTTTTGAGGCCTCCTTGGGCGCTGTGAAACCTCAGAAGTCGTATGTGCGAAGCACAATTTACATTTTCCGAGGGGAATGGGGCGATTTGTGCTTCTTGGGGCCCTCACGGAAGGCTTCTTGAGGGTCTCTCCTTGGCTTTTTGGCGGCCTCTGGGGCTGTCTGGAGGCCATCTTGGGCGTCTTGGAACGGTCTTTCGGCGACTCGGTGCCTCTTGTGCCGTTGGGGGTTCCGGAGCGCTCTGGGGGACCTTGCGGGGACCTTGCCCGGAGTTTGCCGGGAGCCTCCTGGGTTTCGGCCATGGACTTGTCGTTCCGGGACTCCCAAGGGCCGCCATGCGCGGGCGAATTAGACATTGTAGATGTGTACCTGGCGATCTTAGCATTCATTGGGCCCGCGAATGATAGACGCTTTGCGTAACCCTAACAGTCCATCCAGAAACGATGCCCAGGCGAGTTGCCCTGATCAGGGATGTCATACCTCAAGAGGGAGAGGATAGAGCAGGAATCGGACGAGGAGGATGAGGATGATGATGAGGAGGAGGAGGAGCAGGAGGAGGAGGAGGTGGAGGAGGAGGAGGAGGAGGACGATGAGTAAGGAGAGGGGGAGGGGGAGGGAGAGGAGGGACGCGGAAGGAGGAGGATGAGTAGGCGGATGAGGAGGAGGAGGCCTCTTGGGGCTTCTTGGGCACCTTTTGGGGCCCTCTTGGGGCGCTCTTTGGAGCCTCGGGGACCATCTTAGGGCCATCTTGGAGGTGATCGATCAAATGAGGGGGGCTTCTGAATTTTGCCCCCCTCCTCCTCCTCCTCCTCCTCCTCCTTCTCCTCCTCCTCCTCCTCCTCCTCCTCCTCCTCCTCCTCTCAAAAGGCCAACATGTGGCCAAAACCATGGAACAACCAATGATTTTGGCTCCCTCGCTGAGGCCATCTTGGGCTCCAACGCCACGCGAAAGGCCCCCTCCAGGTCCAGCGGTAGGGGGTAGGGGGAGGGGTGAACCCATCCCCGAAGGGAAGAACGGGGGTTGGAATATGAAACGCTCTAAACCACTCATGCCCGAAATTGTTGGTGGGACTAGTATGTGGTAAGTCCATAGGCCCTGGTGCAGGACGAGGGGGATAATCCAGTCCAGGCGAGTCGGGTCTAAAGGATGCCAGGGCGGCATTTACATTCCGATTGGTAGAGAAGCCCTCGGGAGGCGCGCGCAATAGTTTCCAGACTTGGATCGTTTTGATGTCTCCTGGTACCGCGACGCTGGGTCAGGCAGGCTCGAATCTGCTGCACTGCGCGAAGTGCACCGCAGACGGGATCGTAAGAGTGCGCGCTGACATGGCGGGCGTCTCCAGGCTCGCACTGTTGTGCTTTGTGGCCGGCGCTCTGGGCATGAGGCGAAGGTGGGCATCAGCGCTGTCAGGCGGACCGCATCTGTGCCTCAGGTCGCAGGTCTCCGCGACATCCTGTGCTCGATTCCCGATTGCGTTTCCACCCCGACCGAGTGAAGCCAGTGCAGAGCAGACCGCTTGCGCACCTCGCCGGCGCCTCTAGCCTGCGTGCGGCTGCGAGAGACCTCGTGGCACGCGCGCCTGCTGCCCCGAGTGCAAGTCCAACGTGGCGCCTGCGGAGACAGAGCTGCCGACGCTGGAGGCGGAGGAAGGGTCAGAGATGTCCTCCAGCAGGGGAAGGAGGAGGCGGCGACGGAGGTGGAGGAGGAGTAGGGAACGTGTCAGTGGCCAATACGTTCAGAGCCTGAGGGAGAAGGGCCGCTGCCATTTCGGTCCAGGCGTGGCTCGGAACCGCATTCTCACACTTCCGCCCGTCCGCCTACTTCTTCGCAGAGGGGCCATGAAGCTCAACATCGCCAACCCGACGACGGGAATGCAGAAGCTGATCGAGGTTGACGATGACAAGAAGCTGCTGCCCTTCTTCGACAAGCGCATGTCCGTCGAGGTGGCGGGCGACACTCTGGGCGACGAGTTCAAGGGCTACGTCTTCAAGATCTCTGGCGGTAATTTCTGGGGGACGCCAAGCATACACGCACGCCAATTTGGCCAAGCCAGCCTTTGGCACACGACGGGTGTATACGCCTTCAGGCAGGCCTATGACGAGGATAAGTCGCTCTACAGAGTTCGGACATTTCTCAGAGCGTTCTGGATCGCTTTGAAAAGCCTGCGGCGCCCGATATATCCTCCAGATCCGCTGGCTCGCAGATATTCCCGATTCATTGTCATCCGACCTTTCTTTTCACCCCGTCTTCTTCTGACGCATTTGAGGCCAGGCCGTGAAGGCGCTTGCCCCAGTATGAGGCCTTGGATCGGCCTGTCCAGGACCTGAGAGGCTTACAAGTATGCACCACCACCGCCTCCCTCAACCCCTCCCTCTCCCAAGGAAGAGGAGAGGAAGACGAGGCTGAAGGATGGACTTGGGGATGAAGGTGGTGGTGGTGTATCCTCTTGGCGCTCGCAGGATCGGCGCCAGCGGGTGGGCCACTGGGCGTCTACGAGGCTCTCCAGAGGTTCCCAGAGGGCTCCGCAGGTCTCCCTCGGCCTGGGGAGGACCCGAAGGAGAGGCGAAAACGTCACAGACTTGGATCCTCTCGGCCCTCGTGCGGCTGGCCCCAGGCAACGATAAGCAGGGCTTCCCGATGAAGCAGGGCATCCTCTGCAACCATCGCGTGCGCCTCCTGTTCAAGAAGGGCGCGCGGGGACTCCTATCGATCCCCCGCCATTGCGTCCCCCCGTCCCCCCCTCCCTCGTGGGGGACGAGCGGTGATGATGATGCTGCTGCTGATGATGATGATGCTGATGATGACGATGATGATGATGATGATGATGATGATGATGATGATGATGATGATGATGATGATGATGATGATGATGATGATGATGATGGCGATTCTGATGATGATGATGACGATGATTATGATGATGCTGATGATGAGGATGATGCTGCTGATGATGCTGATGATGATGATGATGATGATGGTGGTGGTGGTGGTGGTGATGATGCTGATGATGATGATGATGGTGGTGGTGATGATGAGGATGGTGCTGATGATGATGCTGCTGATGATGATGATGCTGCTGCTGCTGATGATGATGATGATGATGATGATGAGGAGGAGGAGGAGGAGGAGGAGGAGGAGGAGGATGAGGATTTGGAGGAGGAGGAGGAGGAGGACGATGAGGAGGAGGAGGAAGAGGAGGGGAACGAGGGAGGGAGTGACGGATGGGGGGCGAGGGTGGATGCTTCCTCGCTCCTCGTCCGCCTGCTCCTCTTGCTCCTGCTGCTGCTGCTGCTCCTCCTCACTACCATCGGACAGTCCAAACCAATTGTAGCCAGTCCAACTAGCCAGGGGTCTTGCTTGGAGTCCAGGTCGGCTATGCCACGCGTCTGCGGATAGAGAACACATCAGCGCAATGGGAATGGATCGAAGGGAGGCAGCCATGACGCGAGCGCACTTTGCTTGCCTCTCTTTTCTCTACCCTCGTCTCTTCAATATCGGGGAGGGTGGAGGGTCGTGCGCTGAACGGCGCCGCCGTGGTCGTCGTCGTCGTCGTCCTCGTCGCCGTCGTGGTCGTCCTCGTCGTCGTCGTCGTCGTCGTCGTCGTCGTCGTCGTCGTCGTCGTCGTGTGTTTCGTTGTTGCCATCGCCTTCGTGGCCGTCGTCGTCACCGTCGTCGTCGTGGCCGTCGACGTTGACGTCGCTGCTGTCGCTCTCGCTGTCGCGATCGCTGTGGCGAGGGCTCCCGAAGGCATGTCCTGCTACCGCGAGCGCCGCGCTGGCTGCCGCAAGCGCAAGTCCGTCCGCGGCTGCGTGGTGGGCCCCGACCTGGCCGTCCTCGCGCTCACGCTGGCGACTGCTGCGACGACGACGACGACGACGACGACGACGTCGATGACAGCGACGGCGACGACGACGACATCGACAGCGACGGCGACAACGACGAAGACGACGATGACGACAACGACGACGACGACGACAGCGACGAAAGCGACGACGACGACAACGATGAGGGCGACGACGACGACGACGACAGCGAGGACAGCGACGACGGCGACGACGAGGGCCACGACGACGACGTCGACGAGGGTGGCGGCGACGGTGACAACGGCGGCCACGACGAGCACGACCACTGCGAGGTTGGCGACGACCGTCATGGCCATGATGATGACGACGATGACGGCCACCTCGACGGCGGCTGTGAGGGTGCGGGCG